CGTGCACGCCTCCGGATCCCACGGCTGGATTGCGACTCAATGCAGCCCTTATCAGCGGTAGGTGCGACAGCACTTCCTCACACGGTCGTCCGGTTGGGATATCGAAGCATACGCGGCTCATGTAAACAGCGGCTGCGGCAAGTGAAGAGAGTTTGTACTGTCGATAATGCGTGCGAATAGCCAGAGTAGCAAGCACGTACAGAAGACAACTGCGCTGCGCCTCACTTGGAGCGGTGTCTTGCTGCAGAAGAATCCCCATACCCACCGCACTGAGCGTTGGCAAGACCACATCAAACCCAACTTGGGCAAACAGTTGGCACTCCGTAGCGACCAACATTTCAACTGTAAAGTGGTCTGCACCGTAACGGACTAATGCGTGAAGTGAAGCCGGAAAAATCTCCTCCTGCTTCGATGCCAGAAGTAATGCGGCACAACCCACAAGGTGAAGTCGCTCACGCTTTACCGCAACCTTTGCCAAATAACGGTCAACAATAGCCACAGCGAGGAAGAATGTCTCCAACTTCAAATTCACCGCCATGGTGACTTGAAGCAGCCATTCCGCGTGAAGCTCGCGCATCGAAAGCGTCACCTCACGTTGGACCGACGAGATCAGTGAAGCATGCGGGGGCTCATCTCCCATCGCAATCAAGTCGTCCAGCATGAAATTATAGTAACGAAAATCAAATGGAACTGCACCTTCTCCGGGTGCACGTATACCAAGCACCGCATGACAGAGCGATTTAGAGCTCGATTCGTGGACAAACATGACATCCTCCAACCTCTGTCTCGAGCATGGGCCCAACTCCTGCGCATACTGCATCATAAACCGAATAAAATCTGGCTCATCCAGAAGCATTGCAAGCGAGAGCCAACATTTAAAATCACTCAAGGCATACTCAAAACCCGTGCAGAGTTCACGGCGTCGAAGGTACAAAACCTCCAGTACGCGGTAGCTCAATGGAGCATCACTAAGAACAAACTCCAATCTTTCCCTAGTCTCCTCAGAGGCAGAAAGGAAAAGACGTAAAAGCTCATGCTGAAGAAGCTGACGACGTCCCTCTGCGCTGTTGCCACAAAGAAGCTCAACGCGCGATAGCGCATTCTGCAAACCCCTTCGCACCTCATCATAATTCAGCTGAGTGGAAGTGTCAGACCTGCCGCTTGCCACCTGCCGTGCCATCTGTTGTTCCGTTTTGCCTCCTAAATTCTGTTGCGGTCGCGGCAGGTAAAACCCCTTTCCATTAGAAAAAAATTCCAAATTGATGTCTATTGTCCGCAGGCTGTTGTTGCCATTGCTGCTAAGATTCATTTTTGAAGTATTTTATGTATTTGTGATCTATGATTTTCTTTTAAAACAAAAAAAAAGGTTTTTATTATCCTTCTGCCGCAGTTGCTGCTGCTGCGCCCGCTTGAAAACAAACAACACGCACGCACGCAACAAAATAAATAAATTTAGCTCCTATGAATATGAATTCGTCAAAAGTTTCCCTCCCCCCTCCTTCGCCTTCTCTTATTCCTTCCGTTGCGTGAAATGATGAACAGAAGTCAAGCCACCGTGGGATTTGTCGCTTATATCGCCCTCTTTGTTACAAATATTATTGGATAAGTTTATATTTATATAACCACTATTTATTTTTCTTTCTGGGAGGCAGCAATAATAATAATAATAATACAGAGAAGGCAGCAGTGGAATGAAGGAGCAAACACACTTACAGAGAGAGAGAGGGAGAGTGAGATTACAGAGAAAAATTCATAAAACCCCACTGGAAAAACAATAAAGACGACCAAAATTTAGAAGCGATAGGCTCAAAGTAAAAAATTTGCGCCACTATAAAGAGAAAAATAAAAAGACTGAGAAAGGGGAAAAAAAACAACGGTGCCATACTGCTAAATACTCAGCCTGTCCACAGCCTCTAAACGAGACCAAAACGTCTCTTCCTTAATACGCAAAACAACCCTTACTTTGAAACTATGTTCCTGTGACTGCCCGCTTCTGGGCGCGCCAATGAGGCCATCCACAGACATCGAAAAGCCATTCGCAACTAGCAATGCCATGTCGGCAACTATCGCTCCGCTTTGTATCACCACATCGGCAAAGTACGATGCCGCCAAAATCTCAACGGGCATCAGCTTCCCCATTCCAAGCCGTTTGCTGTAGCCAGTGAAAGCGCGTGCCACTACCTGTGCAGAAGTGGGCACCAGTGAGGACGATGAGGACGGGTAAGCACGGGAACCGATAAGAGAGTCATACAATGCCTGTGGCCACTGTGGAAGAGCGTCTAATGGCAACAGCTCCATTGGTCGTCCGTGCGCACCGCCCACAATATAATTTGCCGCAAGCGGGTCAAAAAAGGCGTGTTGTTCAGAGCGCTGATTGGGTGGATACACCAGACGCGTGTTGCCGTCCGCCTTTATCGCACCACCAGCAAAAAAAATACGATTCACTTTGGCTCGAAGATCAGAATGCCGCTGCAGAAACTCCGCTGCGTCTGTCAATGGTCCAAGCACCAAAAACGCCGCCGTTTGACTCGACAAATAATTCGACAGCGCAACATCAAAGAATTCGTATTGTCCGCTAATGCCAACACTCTTACCATGACTACTGGTTGGAGTGGACAGAGGCACACTGTCCAGCAACTCGGATGCACCGAACAAGGAATCCGCCTCCAACATCAGGCTAGGCATAATCACACGACGGTATGTGCAAGCGGTCGTATTTGACGCTTTACCGCCGCCCATGGAAAAATCAATTTCATCATCATACCCAGCATTCACCTCCGCCACACTGCTTCCATAATACACGGGGATATGATACTTTAAGGAGGATTCCTCCTTAAGCATGGCGAGGAACGCAACCGTGTTGTCATACGCGGCGTTGAGGTTAAAATTCCATGCGTTTACTGTTAGCACAATCATCGCAATCGACACATCCGAACGCTTCGCAAGATGTCGCAGTGCCATGAGAGCACCTGGCGTGGGTTCCATAAACAACACCGCTCTCGCAGGGTCCCTCACCTGCTTTCTAATTCCCCCAAAGGCATAAATAACAAAAAATAAAAGTGCGAGGAAATAACACCCAAACACAACCAGCCGCAGGGCTTTGATTTTTCGCGGCTGCGGCAAATCCTCCCACCGCTTCTGCCACTGCCGCAAATAATCCATGAGGCCCGTTTACTTTCTTTCTTCCCTTTTCTTTTTTCCTGCCGCAGTCCGCTAAAATCAGTATGATTTATTTATGGCTGATTGCTCAAATACCAACAAAACAACACGCCGCCCTCCACCAGCCAACAGTGCAGGCAGAGACAGTTTTTTAAAGCTTCCTACAAATCAGTACATCCATGAGAACAGGAAAAACCCAATAGGAAAAAAGTCACAGAAAAAGAGAGGGGTAAAGAAATACGGATACACACACACAAAAATAATAATAATAATAATAATAAATGACACTAAAAGGAATAAACAACTACTCGGCATCTCATACAATTTTTTTTTTTGTTGCTATGTCCTCGTAGGACGGTCAGGTGTTCCCACGCACATGCGGGAGGAAGGGAGTGGAGGCAAACGGCATACGACAACTGGTACGCCGCGGGAGGCCTATCTCTCTCCCCCTCCTAATTACACACTTGGCATCACTTCCTCCTGATCCTCTGGAATAGTTGCAAGTGTTCGCATGTGCTGCAGCATCTGTTGGTTTGTCACAATAAAAGACCTCATTGGGCGGCTAGCACCGTCTGCATCCAAGGAAGAGGACGACGCCGCCGCAAACACCCGCGACACGCACCCGTGAAGACGTGTGTTGCGCAGCAACACCTCCATGCAGACTTCTGCAAGCAGCTCACCCTCGTGTCCGGAGTCTGCAACCATCGATCGCACCGCACCGCAAACATCGTCGAGCTCACGCTTCCAATTATGTGCGAAGGCATCCGCAGACTCCAAAAATTTTGCCGGATCCCTCTCCGCAGTCTCCTCCTGCTGCACGACATGGTAAAGGAAGGGAAAATACATCCGCAAAAGAGCATCCACATACCCACTTCTCTGCGTTCGCTCAACCTCTTCAAGCGCTCGGTAGTCCTCTTCAAGTGATGACGAACCGCTGCTCAAAAGAAAGTCGCTCCATCTGAACATAATGCAGCGAATGTTGTTTAGCAAAAATGCAAGAACGTACATCTCACGAGTCTCTGGATGCGTCGCGCCTCTCTCAGCCAATTGTTGTCCTACGTCCCGCAGCAAGCGCAGAACTTCCACTCGCATGAAGTTAAGATTCCCTGTAAGCACTGCGAAACGGGATGCACTGTCCGCTGCATCAGACACGCGTTCCGCTTCAATCGCACGCCATGCAATACGTTGCAACTCCGAAAAATTAATCTCATCCGCATTATTCATGCTCTCAGCACTTCCATTCACTTCATCCACAGAGTTCGAACGGAGTGACAGCTTGCTTTCGTCAGTTTTCTCATCAAATCCACAGCCCGAGCTGATCGTCACGAGCGACAAGGCAAACGCCGCGTATTGCTGACTCAATGGATGAATACACCTCACCCACTCACATTCCGTACTACCTTGACGGCGCAACAGAACACGCGAAAGACTCATAACATCAGCCGATCGTAAAGAAAGCATCTGCCGTTCATAGTTCCGCTGAAACGCCGGCCACAATAATAGCAACAAGGAGTCATAAAATCCTTCAAGACAGCTGAGCCGCCTTACATCCTTCATAAGTGAACGAAAGTCATGACAGAGACGAATAAGCAGCAGCAAACCGTAACAGTCGTAACGACAATTTGGATTGACTGATGTGTGTGGGAACTGGTCACGCATTGCACGGGTAACAGAGCCACCCGTTTGACCAAGCATCACTTCAGACACATAATCCACAATGAACTGAATGGTGGGCTTAAAAACGTCAACAAAGATGGACATATCACCGGAGAAAAACGCAAAAGTAAAAAGGAACTCATGTGTCACAGCGTCGCACAGAAGCACATTTAAGGAGCGAAACGTCTCTTCGTAAAAATGTAGCCTCCGCTTAGCTCGTTCCAACAGAGGCACCAAAGGTGGGCTGAGCACTTCGTTCAGGATGGCGGCACGCTCGCCCAATTCAAATACGGTTGACGGTGTCACCCCCTGTGACTCAATAAGCAAAGGAAGAACATACGCAACGGGGGAAACCCCGGCATTTACGGTTTGGGTGGATTTCTCCATCGCATTTAGACTCATCACATAGTGTCGGAATCGGTCAAGGTACAACTGCGACATAATTTCAGTATACTCGCCCCGCAGCTCATCATACAGCGCCTTGGCAATGCGGTATGGCAGAAGTACCGGAGATTCAGGGTCCATCTCGCCATTTTGATGCGGATGCCGCAAAAGGGGGACGGCGGCTCGAAGGAAGTGCACATAAAATGCGTGAGGCTTTAAAACGTGCTCCTGTTGAACATACACATTGGTGTTCCTAACGCTAAGATAAGTCAATTTCTTTGAGAGAAACCGCTTCGTCTTCACGCAGGCATGAACGGTAAGGCGGTCAAGAATCTCCAGTTGCTCGGCGTAAATTCGACACGCGGCGAAGGAAATAAGTGTCTTTGCGCCGGACTCAATTTGGCAGCTCCCCTCTTTACGGTAACGCAGGAACATCAGCAATTGCTGCATGCTCAGCTTGAACTGCGGCCCGAGCTCCTCATCATTGGAGTGAATAATAATGCGCACCACGTCCGGTGGCACAATAAGACGTGACGCAACATTCCACACCGCCTGCTCTGCCTTCCTCGCGTGGGTAAGGCTGACCCCAATCCGCTTCAGCCGTTCACGCACATCTCCAATGTCGTGCTGAATCGACTCCAGATTGACAATAAACCGCTCAAGGATGTGTTCGATGCCAGCGAGAGACTCATCACAGTCTTGCATCTGGAGGTGCAACGATGGTACCGCGTCGTCGCCAAGGAACGTCTGAACAAAATCATCACACAACTCTTGAGACACACGACGGCTCAACTCCGCGTCAAACGTATTATTGCATATATTTGCCTCCACCAAAGCCTCATCGAGGTCCACGTGCGCCAAATCTTCCAACTCCTCGGTCGTAAACTTCGTTGCCATTGTCCTCAAGTTGCAATAAAAATCATCCCCCATACTGGCATGTGGGGTTTCAGAACACATGCGTATGTACAAAAGAAAAATCACACAAAAGAAAAAAATAAATAAATAATTATTAATTACAATAATAACAGCATAATTACAATGTCCCAATAATTGCAGGAAAAAAAAAAAACATGCACAAACACAAACAAAAAAAAAAAAATCAAACAAAAAAAAAACCCAACCACTGGCCATCCAACCAAATGTACAGGAAACAACGGCAAAAAAAAAAAAAAGACACCCACACAGAGATACAGAAAAAAGATAAGAAATCCAAATAACAAATAATAATAATAATAATTCCACCACATAATCCCCATCATCTCGTGTTGTCATTGTCTCTAGCAAGCAATTTCATTGGCAGACCGCATAACGGCCTGAAGAACAGCCTTGTCAAAATCTTCTGCCTGCACTGCGTCCAGCCGCGGAAGTTGCTGTAGCACAATCCCCCACATGGTTGATTCCGCTCTCGAGATGGTGGCAGCCTTGTGGGATGCAATTATTTTTGAAAATGTCGTCAAGCTTGGCGGCAATGGCGTCTGCAAAAGCGACAACGACGCCTCAAAACAATCGACTCGAATTTGCTTTGTGCGTTCCACAAGATATAACGTGCCTGGTACCGCCGCCCGCTCATCCAAATCATTCTCCTCAAATATACAAAGACCCAAGTAACGCCGTAAAAAAGTGGTGCAAAAGAGACGTTCGCTCTGCACCGTGTCAAGAAAAAGTGACGGCCAAGACGCGGCATTACGTAATATTAATGCTTCTAACTTCTCATCAGGAACAAGTCGACGCGCACACGAAAGCAGCACAGCAAGAATTTGAAAGGGCAACCACATCGTTGCACGTAGTGGCACACCAAACAGCCCCACCAACTTTCCCTCCTGGACCGGAGAACAAACGTAACGACCAGTAAACCCAGTGATGTGACTTAAATGACACTCCACGACGCCATCGTAACCCACATGAGGTCGAAATTGTGAGGAAATCAATCCCATAAGTTCAGCATACATGCAGTTGGCACCCAAATTGGAAACCGCCCCTATTCCCGCTGTACCACTACCATTCTTTACGCTACTACTCTTACCATCAGCAGCAATAATACCCCTGCTGCCGTTGTTGCTTTTTTGAAGTTGCTGGGGAATGACGGTGTTGTTCCTGTTCTCAGCTGTGGATGATCCCTTAGTGAAGGTGGAGAAACCGTCTCTAGAAAAGGGCTCACCACAGTGGGCCTGAGACAAAACCCGTTCAACCTCTTCCCGTGCCTCACCATATATTGCCTTATAAAAGACGCATAAAACGCCACGTTTTCCCTCACTTTTTCCACGCCCCCAGAAAGCATATTCAACATAATTTGATATTTCAAGAGCAAAAAGTCTCGCCGGAAGACGCAGTACAACCCTCCATCCCTTATTCTCTGGTTGTATGACAATTGATTTTTCCAGCGGTGGCAACGGTAATGCAAAATGTGTCTGGCACAATTTGTATATCCATTCCAAGGAGGCGGTTCGCAGTTGCTCATGATCCTCCAAAAGCGGTGGATCGGCAAGATGAAGTTCTCTGCGATAGTACCTGTGAATAATATCCCCAACAGAACACAGCTTACCGAGTGAAATGACTCGAATGATGCTTTCTTTGGTCCCGGTCGCAAGTTCCTTGTCGTGGACTCCTCTCACTATCAGCAATTTACGTTTCACGTCATATTCATGAATAATCTTCTTCATCCCAAGCTTTTGTGCAAGCACCTCTTGATAGTCCTCAATCGTCCTCGCAAACGCCAGACTGGTGGGAACCGCCTTTCCCTTGCCGAGCGCTGCACGGAAGGATTCACCTTCACCTTCACCAGTGATTTTTTCCAAAAGCGCCTTTAATGCCTCGAACCGCGACGACCCCACCGCCGCGTCCAACACCGTCACATTTTCCACGCCACCGGAAATCTTCTGCAGCTCCCAGCGGAAGCCGAGTCTCTCAGTGGTGTCTTGACACCGAAAGAACGTTTCCCCCTCTCCAGTAATAAGTAAAAGAAAAGTATGTGCCCGCTGCAGCAGGTGGACTAGCGGTAGCGCTTCGGGGAACTGTTCCGCCAAAAATGTCTTGGAAAGCATCTCTTTCACCGGTTCGTTTTGGGCAAAAGTAGCACTACAAAGATTAATCCTTACGCCATCAACAATTTGGAGCTTCAACGACGCCTTCGATTCTTTTTGTAGCAACATCACGCTATTTTGTAAAAATGCCGTCACAAAAGCCCTGAAAGAAATCGATAAACTCTTTTTAATCTCCATAAACGCAAATGCCATTGTCTCAATAGAAGGGACTTCGATATCCCATCGTGCGGCGTACTGAGCAAAGCAACGCCGCACCTCTTGGAGAAAGCACTTCTCCTTTATGTGCGTCTCATGGGTCTTCTCATCCCCGGAGTAGAAAGACAAGACAAATTCATTATTTTGCACCTCTACTGAAGCACTCTTAATGGTGTAACAAAACAGTGGATCATGACGTAGAATGGCCTCAATGATTCCTCGCGTCAGCCGCCATAGGTTAAAAAAACATGGTGACAGACGCTTCAAAGGCCATTGCTTCGGGTCTTTGGAGTAGCGTTCAAGAATGCTAAGCAATGCGTAATCTTTTTGTTCCATTTCCAGCAAACCCGAAAAGCGAATTGAAAAAAACTCATCTGAAACTAAAGGTATGGGGATCCGAATACGCTTTATGTAGTGTGGCGCTTTATGCGCTGAAATTCCAGCAAAGGCTCGCCACAAGAGAAGAGCTGAGGCTCTCTTGTTGTTATGAACGAAAATAGAAGCAAAACATGGAGATTGACTTCGCCGAAGACGCTTCACAAATCGTTCAATCCCCTGCAGTGAGTCCATCTGTTCAAACCGAAAAAGAGTCCGACCTGACGCATCCGAATACTCCACAACATCCTGACTAAACTTCCCTGAGGCAACGCCCATAGCTCTAAGTGTGGCTTCCATGTCAATAACCTCCACGACAAATGAGGGGGTTGCCTCAGCGTGCTCATTGGAAGTCTTACGTGACTTCGATGGGCCCTTCTCCTCCTTCTTTGCCTGGGAATTACTCGAATTTTGGGTGTTCTTTTGACCATGATCCGTCGGCTCCGCAACCGCAGAACTTCGCTGTGGTGTGGCCACGTGCCATGGAAAAAGCGTCGATAACGCCGTCGCAGCTGAACTGAAACCACCCACAATTGTCGATACACGCCCACCAGCCGTGACGGCCAGATGATATCCAAAATGCAAAGATCCAACAGATGCCAGCATCATCGCTCTTGTGCCAAATTCCAGTGGCAGACACTCCTGCAGAAATAAAAAAGGATTAGGGTATTTCAAACAACGCGGTGCCATAGGAACCGTCACGGGGTGACCCCATTCACTTAGCCACGCATCGATACCAACTCGCCCACAACTTGCAACAAAATCCTCCGCTTTTGTCGGGGCTAATTGGCCGCACAAAATGTCACAAGAGACATGAAAAAGCAAAATTTGAAGAAGCGGTTGTGAACAAATTGAACACAAAAGCGTCGAAACAACCTCAGGATCCCTCAAATTTTTCGTACGAACAAAGGACCCCGCATCTTCCAATGAATTGATTGCAGAATCATCTAGAATCTCATTTTCTTGGCATACTAATTCATGGCACCTGCCTTGATGCATAAGGCCGCCTCTGTCCCTAAGCGTCATCAATGGCACGTCACACCTCTCTGTGTTTCCCGCATCATCGTGTATCGCCCATTTGCCCGCAATAACACCAAAGGCACTCGCATCCTCCCTTTCATAACGGAGGAACTCCATGTCCACTGCGTAGGTTGTGGGACATAGCAAATTTCGCAGTACCGGATCCTTTGAAAAAGCGCCCCCCGTTTCCCCCCATATTGTTCCCTGGGGGAAACAAATACCGCTATATATGGAGGCTACAGGCATCGCTGTTGTAAAAAGCAACTTTGCTTCTTGAAATGAGGCCAGAGCAAACTGTTGGCCTTTCACCTCCGCATCACGTCGCAAAATCCGTAGGGCCTCCCGCAGGAGATCGCACAAGGATTGCACCGATGGCGACTTCGATACATCCATGATGTGTCGTTCATTTCTATAAGGGTCCCACGCATCAGCCTCATAAACTGAACAGTGTAATTCCCCTTTACGTTCCCCCTCAGATCTTACCTTAGCTGCCACAGCTGCTTTAGTGGGTAATGACGATGACGAGGATTCCTCCATCATCATCATCATCACCATCGGGCCCCAGATGCGTAGACGCACCTGAAGGTCGAGACGGTGAAGCAGGTTCCGCGTCGCCCTCGCCCCCTCAATGCATCGCCTGACTGTGTGGCAACCCTTCACCGCATCCCCATCCCCGCACTGCTGCAAAAGATGTACCGCCGTCCGCTTCACGTTCTCCGTCACCGCGTCAGAGCATGTGCCCCGCACACCCGACACAAGAACAATCTCAATGTTTTCCTCGACAAACCAGCTAAGCGAGCCCTCAATCATCGGCTTCTTTACCGGAATGAGGTCAATGAGAATGCTTTGCGAGCCGAATGCCCGCCTAAATATCGCATCCGTAGACACAGCTGCACAAAAAAGGGACGAGCAGCACCTCAGCATCCCAATTCCGCGTTTATGTGATGAGAAGAAACACGAACACACACACACACACACACACAGAGACAAAACACGGGCTCGTTAAGGAAGTGAGCAGAGAAAACCTGCAAATACTACTACGAGGAAATGAAGTAAATTTTCCTCTCTCTTTTCCCCCCACCTTCGCCCCACTCATTTCGCTCAATTATGACGGTAGAAGAAAAAAGAAAGAAAAAAAAGAAAAGAAGAAAGGCACACACACACAAAAAAAAAAGTAATAACGCAGAGAGAAGGCTGTCAAACAAAAAAAATAAAGTCACTAGCTGCTGCTGCAGGCAAAACAACAACAAGACATTAAAAAGGAATGCGTTTAATAAATAATGATAAACAAATTGCTGTCACCTTGTTCCCCGCTGTACATGTAACTGTAATGAACTGCAACCCTCGCTCACTCCCTTCATCACCTCTTCAGACAGAGAATTCACATTTTATTTTTCTTTTGCCTTTTGCGCACATGTGTGTAATCTTCACTTCAGCCTGTGACATCCCACACAACTTCGTCAATTGTGAAAAACAACTCATATGGAATGCACATCAACGCGTCTCTAACAGCATCGATCGACTTTGCCTTCTCAAAATCCCTTGCCGCCGCGTCATAATGCTGAAGTGCCTTGTTTGCAAAAGATCGTCGAAGCAACACCGTGGGATCACTCTCATCCTCGCGCAGCACAACGTTCAGATCCGCCAACGCTCCCGCTGCATCACCGAGACGCTGTCGTGCTTTCGCTCGCTCGTCAAAGAAAAACGATGGAGGGTTAGGGTGAGAGTTGATGGCCTTCGAAAAGGCCACCTCAGCAGCATCATAATTCCGCCCAGAGTGCAGATATGCCTCGCCAAGAGCAAAAGAGTAATCAGCCTTGTCATTTAGCAGGGGCTGAAGCGTGGCCGCCTGCAACAAATCATCCACCGCATCCTGAAAGGCGTGCAGCGCATAGTGGGAACGGCCACGCAAATAGTACAATTCCGCACTCTCGTGGCCAAGTTGCAGAATAAGTGAGATGTCGGTAAAGACCCCGGCGTAGTCCCCCAACGTGTACCGACAGTCCGCCCGCTGAAGTAAATACAAATAATTTGTCGCATCCAGTGAAACAGCCTCGTTCGCGTATTCCAACGACTCCGAATGTCGGCCGAGTTTACTTAGGACAACAGAAAGACAATGCAATGTTTGTTGATCATGAAAGTTGTGCTTGTGGACCGCCCCGTGCAGGTCCATATATGCGCCATGCAAATCACCATACTCAATGAGTGCAACGCCACGACGAAAATAAAAAACAGGATTTTCAGGATGAAGATGAATACATCGTGTAAACGACTCCACCGCAAGGTCAAAGTAATTCAGTTTGCAATACACAAGTCCAATACACTCATGTACAAGATCATCATCCACCCCAATTTCCAGTGCCCGTGTAAAGCAATCAAGAGCGGCAAATGACTCGCCTTGTAAAAAGTGCAACAGACCAGAATGCATCCATGCGGTACGAAACGTGGGATTCAGCTCTACACTTCTTTCCAGCTCCCTCTTCGCCTCATCATAGCGGTTCTCCTCCATAAAAGCCAACGCCTTGGAGTAGTGATACGATTCCCGTGAGGCATCCAAGCCAATCGCCTCATCCAGGTCTATGATGGCTTGTGGGTACATTTGGAGAACAATTTCCGTGTTTCCACGAAAAAAATGATTTACGGCTCGTTTTGCGCCTTTAAGTACGGCATTCTCAAATTGCTTGAAAGCATCCGCCATGGAACCCAACTGAAAAAGACAGACACCAAGATTGATGTGGTAATCGCTGCTGAGACCATCAAACTCCAACGCCCTCTGAAAATTCTGCACCGCTGTCTTGTACTCCTCACGTTTAAACCGGGCAATGCCGAGAAGATTATGCAACGCTGCAGTTTCTTGCATTTCCAGGCCTTTCGTCAACACCGACTCTGCACCGTTCACATCCCCCGCGGTCAACTTGCAGGTGCCCAACGAAATCAGGGTTCGGAATCGCACGTTTTCTGTCATGCGACCCGTAACTTTTTCCCCCAGCGCAGCCGAAAAAAAATTCTGAGCTAGCGCCCGGCTGCCCTGCATCAAGTAAGAAATGCCTAATTCATACAACCACGTCCCGTTATCCGGTTCAACTTCCGCCGCCCGCGTGAAGTCAATGATGCTTTCAGTAATTTTGTTCATCTTGCGCAACACGTTTCCACGGGCCCCATACGCCGCTGCAAGTCGACGACGGTCAAAGCCATGGTCCTCCAACTGTATTACCAGCGAAAAGTCCGATACGGCGTGGTCGTAGCGAGACAGCCGTGCCGCCAACTGGGCGCGAAAAAGCAGCGCATTGACAAAAAATGGTTTGTACGTAACTGCCAGCGTCAAGTGCTGCATCGCCTCCACGGCCTGCTCATGCGTGTCAACCTTCAGTGAGCGGGCCTTCTCAAGCTGTTCACGGGCGAGGCGCTCCCGCAATTCACGTGCCGATGCAGTCATCCCCAGCAAGGGTCAATCCACCCACGCACGCCTAAAGCAACAAAAGAGAAAAAGAGGGAGAAAACAAGAAAACGCGCGCAAAATGACAAGATGTGAATACACCCCGTTAAAGTCAAATAAAACGATGAGCGACTGCGCCTCTCTTTCTTCCCTCAGGCTTTTGACCCCCCCCCCCCCAAACCCCCCCCAAAAA